ATGCACAATCAATGAATCATGGAACACTACATCTAAAACTAATGATGTAATGTATGGGGATTAACATAAGAATAAAAAATTTAAAAAAAAAATAGACTTGGTCAATGCAGCATTGCCATAAACCTTCAATTTGTGAAAAATGCAACATCTGCAAAACTGAATAAAGCAAAGCACAATAAAAGAGCCTGGGCCTGTGGTGGATTAGACACAGCTAAAGAGAGGATTATCGAACTGGAATATAGAAAATTAATTAGATAATAGCAAAGAGAAATAGAAATGAATAATATAAAAGGAAATTCAGAGATACAGAGGCAAAAATTATAGTCCAATAAGAATTTCAGAAGAAATTTAGGGAGAATAGGGGAGTAGCAATTTAGAAGAATGGTGGTTAAGAATTTTCTACATTTGAAATATGAGTCTTTTAGATTCAGGGAGTACAATAATTCTGAATAGAGCAACTGAAGACTAACAAAGACAGAATGAAGATCTTATCTGCTGGAGGAAAAAAAAGACATTAATCAAAGAAGGATGCATAGATTAATTGTAGATTTCTCAGTTATAGTAATAGAGAATGTAATAGAATGAGACCAATACAAGAAAAAAAATCACTAACAACCCAGAAAGAATTGTATAACCAGCTAAACTGTCATAAATTAATTTCAGACAGATAGATTAATACTAACAAACTTGCTGAGAGAAGTTCAAAAGGATATAATTCAGGAAAAAGGAGTTTAAACTTGTAAGAAAGGAATGAAATGAAGTTTTGTACATTTTATTTATGAAAGAGCACTCAGTGTCTTACTTGGAGCCATTTGACCATCATTTTAAGTAAAATTCCACTTATCCAGTTTCCTAGGTTCTTATAGTATTGGTAATGATAGACCCATGAATATACTGATGTGAGCATAAGAGGAAGTAGAAAAATTACAGTGCTATAGCAGAATCTAAACCACTTAACTCTGGGTTTGTACATAGGTCTGCACACATGTATGTGAGTGATTGCAACATGCATGTGGAGTGATTTAAAGTGGGAACAAAACTACCTTGCCTTTTTTTTAATTGGTGCTTGAGAGTATTTTAACCCCAGTATGGTAATTGATGTTTATAACATGAATGATAAAAAATAGCTAAGTTAGGGAGGAGGAGCAAGATGGCGGAGGAGTAGGAGACTAAATTTCGTCTGGTCCCAGGAATTCAGTCAGATAGGTATCAAACCATTCTGAACACCTACAAACTCAACAGGAGATCGAAGAAAAGAATAGCCACAACTCTCTGAACAGAAAAGCGACCACTTTCTGGAAGCAGGGATCCAACAAGCGGCAGATCCGGGGAGACTCCCCTTCCTCCCCCTGGAGGAACAGCGCAGCAGCGCACCGCAGCAATCTCCAGGGTTTGGAGATTCCAAACAGGGTCGTGTGCCAGAGATAGAAATGCTCGGTCACAGGCTGGGTGAGCACAGAGTGTGGCCAGAGACCGGGGAGACAGGAGTGATTGACTGCTTTTCTCTGGGGGCTCCTGAGGAATGGGGCCCCAAGGTGTTGGCTCCTCCGTGGTGGAGATTGGGAGGTCACCATTTTCTTCCTTATCCTCCAAAGCTGTACGGAAAGCTTTCAGGGAACTAAAAGCTACTGAGAGCAGACCTGAGCAGATTCCTTAGCCTGGCCCCTGGCAAGGGCAGGGCAATTCCGCCTCAGGCAAAGATGTTTGAGAATCACTGCAACAGGCCCCGGCCCCAGAAGATCAGCAAGAACAGCCAGCCAAGACCAAGTTTACCGATCAATGAGAACGGCAGA